GGTTCAGGATAGGCTGAAAACTCGACACTTCCCTCAAACACAGGCCCAGTATGTGCATAGGAATGAACGGGTTGCCTGCACAGTTTTTAAACTTTGGGATGCAGTGAAAGATTTGAAGATGCCGTAGGTGTTCAAGACCAAAAAAAAAAAAACAACATGAGGCAGAATACTGTCAAGTACTAATACACACATTACTGTAGGACATGCCTGGAATCACCTTGGGTGTTTTGGTACCATAACAACTATCGGAAAATGTACAAAAAATATTTGATGTGAATTGACTTGGTAATTTAAATCCCTAGATAAAATGTAAAATAACTATTGACTTCATTCCATTATCTGCATCATACCTGGAAAAAACAGCAGTTTTAGTCTAAATGGGATCACAACGCTGACCCCATATTTCTTCATGTCAGCTACGTCCATATTTTAAACCCAGCCTGTGTCACTGACTCCATTCTGTGCTGATCTATAGTCCAATGTTTTGCTGACTACAGGAAAGGGAGGTGCTGGGAGGAGACACTAATTCATTATGAACACTGTATTCCCATTGCATTACGTACATATTTTCATACATAGAGTGGTGTGGTTAATTATGTATAGATAAATGAAAACCCAGTTAACCTATTAACTAACCCAGTTGACTGTTTATGTGAAGACAACAATAGTGCGGTGTCCTGCTGTGTTTTGTTGTTTTGTTGATTTGTTATTGATCACTGGAGATAAAATAACTAATGAAGAAAAAATAAAAAAAATAAATTACATATATAAAATAAAAAATGTGTTGCATGTTTACACATTAAGACTGTATTTGTGATGAGCATCAGAGAGAAGTGCCTGTTTATTGATAATTCAGTGGTTACTTCTCTGGATCAATGCTCTCAAATTAATGTGGAAAGACTGAACACTACACCATGACCTCACCACTGCTGAAAATAACATGTTTATTGTCCGGTGGGGACACACAAACACCACCACTGCTGGTGCACAGAGGATGTGGACTTTGGCCCCATCCTTGATGATGCGTCTCTGACAACTGACCTTTAGCCCCTCGTCACCTTCTTTCAGGACAACAAATAAGAACAGTGAGCTCCTGTGAGCTGAGGCGAAGGGGTCGGGCCACGTCTCCACACAATGACTGCACACTCCTGGGAGTTTTCCCCTCGCACTGCTGACAATGCTGTACGTCAGTAGGCACTTGGAGATAGGCTTCAGGAAACAATGTGCCCAGTGATGGGCGATGTGGCCGTCACCAGCCCACGAGGTCAATGACATTGGAGCTGTTGACATTGGCTCCCGTTGCGCGCTCACCCCACCGGTTAATATTCTGGCATCCCAAACATCCTGGAACATGCTAACAAACTATGGATGGACAGCCACGCCTAAATGGCAGGAATTTTACTGGAGAAAAGCCAACATAATCCGGTCCTTCATACACATGACTTCAAAACAGTCAGTCGTGCTGCTGTACCATCAGGCCAGACTTTTTTTCTGCCAGATTGGCACCTTGTAGGGGTTATGTAATCTATTGTTCTCACACCCAAAGTACAAGTTTTGCACTTTAGTGTTTGTTCTCTGATTTTGGTTTTCATACACAGATAACTTGGTTAAAGTACAGTGACTGCGTGCAGACAGTGACACTGTCTAAGGTGACTCTGTAGGACATTTTTATTATCCTGTCTCTAACACAGTGTAACTTCACTGAGATTGGTCCATTAAACCTGTTCAGTCAATTAGACGCAAAATACCCTTGAAACGACTGGATCTGACCTTTAATGTCTTACAAAGGAGAACAGTAAAAAAACAAACAAAACACAAACAAGAAAACAAAAGATGTGGCAATATTTAAATGCTAAGATGAAATGTCTGTCTATAACAGCTAATAAAGCAGCTAATAAAACAACTTAATCTAGAAAAAGTAGTGATGAATAGTAATAAAGTTGATCCAAATATAGTGTAGGTTAAGGCAAAAAATAAGTTCAAATGATCAACTGCTATTACAGGTAAATAGTATTTTTTTATGAGTATTACAGGGGAGTAGTATTTCTTTGATTATTCACCAGGGAGACTCAGGTGGTTCTGTAAATCATTGTTTCCCAAAGACTGGCTCGGGACCCTCAAGTGGGTTGCAAGAGATTTTTTTTGGGTCGTCTCGCAACATTTTCCCAGGAGTTTACAAATAATGTCTATTGACTTGGGTTGCTAATGTTTGTGACTTTTATAATATGAAAAAGAGAGAAAAAGAGTTGGGGAAACACTGCTGTAAATGATGCTGGGTCTCCCCTAAGTTGAGGGGTGGACAATTCACTCTCCACAAGAACTGGTTGTGTTCATAAATGACAGCCCAGTACTGACCAGTTGGAGCCTAATCAAAGTCAGGAAAACTGTTGTCAGGTCCTCTTATCTTAGAGGTTTTTACTGATGTGTAGTTGTACTGCCTTAGTCTTGTCACCTTTTTGAGTGTCTGTTCAACTTTCTTACCACCTTTATTCCTGTACGATGACAACAGAATTCTTTCTACTTTTGTTTCTAACTCTTACCAAAAAGATTTGTTTTAAATACCTTAGATTGTCAGTGATAGTTTGTTCTATTTTAAAAGCAGCTGTTTGACCTTTGATCTCAAGACATGTGACATTTTTCTACAGAGCTGGCCTTGCCCTTTCTTTTAAGTACGCTCATGTTATTCCTCAGCCAGTGATCCATTGTTAAAGACATGCCCAGCACTGCGTGGACGCCTTATTTATTTAGTCTTACACAATGTTTTCACATCATGTTGGGTGAAGGCGTCACGACTCAAGAGGAGTCAGGTCTGGATCAGTCATACTGGTTCTAGGTGACTATAATTAAATATTAAAAAGCAACAAAGTAATAACATCCAACAAATGCAAGATGGAACGTTTGCTGAGAAATAATTTGAATAAAAATACAGCAAAAAAAGCTACAAGTTGTATGAAATGGAACTTGAATTTTTAAAGACTTGAACTTGAATCTGACTCACCTTTTTGTTTGGCGACTTATGATGCGTTTAATTTGCACAATTTCAAGTCTGAGCTGGGAGGTTTTCCTCCAGGGGCAGCAATCGGATTTTCCCAAAAATCTGTTCTTGTAACCCCTCAGTACGCTGCAGCTCAGAGGACTGAGACTTTAACAAACACTGGCAGCCTGTTGCATTCACTGCACTATGTTTTTGTCTCTGCGTCATAAACACGGCACTATTTAATTGTTGTCTGAGGGGATGTTGTTGTGGAAATGTATTCACTCATGATGTACTCAATTTGGAACTGTAATGGACACCGTGACATGCAACTCTTATACTTTCACTTTTGTTCTAACACCAAATACCCGAGGCCATTATGTTGGAAAGATCATACAGAAATACACATAGAGACAGATATAAGATTCAAACATCAAATATAAAGAAATACTGTAGTGTTTCAAAGTTTTTAAAAAAAGTATTTCCATATTGAAATGAATAATGAGTATCAAAAAGATGTGGCACAAGTGTTTGCCTTTTCTGGGCCCTGTGCCTGATTTTGGACTCTGTTTGACTGAATATTTAAAGCCTACAATGGCAATAACCAGATGCTACAGTGTAATAAGGTGCCTGGTAAAGTATTAATGCGTGTAAAGGATGTTCTAGTAATAATAACGTGATAATCTGTCAGGTTCTGACTGTACTGTACTTATTGAGGAGAGAATGACATTTACATTGATGCTCTGACTCCTCTGTAGCTCTGCAGGCCTTCTCAGGACCAACACGTTCAGTCTGACCAGACCATACTCTGAGGAGGATGAGGAGGAGGTGGATACTGGAACCACATCGCCATCCCAACACTATCAATCCTCCCGTAAGTTTACTCACCAGCCGTCGCACCACACCCGGATTCTCTGCCTACTCTTGTCCGGACTGGAGGCTGCAGCGCCCGGGGTCGTTCCTGTGTCTTTGACGGCTGCTGCTGCAGCTGCTGTGTTCACCTGGTGGCTGCGGTGTCCGTTCTTAATCATTGTGGAGCTGGTGATCGATCTCAACAGATGAGGCGTTTACGTACACAGCGACCGATTCGAAGTCAGATGACAGACGGGACTTGTCGATAACGTGTGGGCCCCAGTTTTCACTGCACGACAGCCGGTTCCTCCTCAGTCCTTGTAGTGCGTTGCGCAAATTCTGCCGGCGACGCATCCACGCAGGACGCACAACGACGCATCAAACCACATAAATACTGCAACCGTGCCGAGGGGAGGACAGGAAGTGTTGATAAAATGGCCCGCGTCACAAAGTAGTACGACGTGACTTTTATTTTGAAAGTTCAGACAGAGATTTCCGAATGTATTATGGGCGACTTGTATTACGCTGGTTTGTCGGATGAGGTGCGGGCGAACGCCGCAGACATGTTGTTACATAACAACAGCGATCGCCGTGCTGTCACGTGACCACACATCATTCTGGATCATGTTCTGGACTCGGTCAGGCTGTGATCTGTTCGCCAACCTCTACTTCCGGTGAACACCAACGTAAATACAAATCATTCTATTGAATATCTCTGAAATAAACATAAACAAAAATGCTTGTAGTACTGTACTGTTACTATTTATTTACTACTCCTATTACTACCATTTTAATAATTTTAAGTGTTAGTGTAATAATAAAAATAATACTAACAACAACAACAACAACAACAACAACAATAATAATAATACCTCAGAACTAGAACTTATCATATGGTGTATCTATGTCAAGTAGCCAAGATTTTTCTCTCTCAAATGAATAAAAACAAATTTAAAACATATTCTGAATATTGTCTGTACAGTAGACAACAGTTTCTATTTTGAGATTTTTTTCTTCAAGAATAAGGATAACGAATGTGTTCCGTTTGTCTTTTTTGTCAACAGTCTGTTTTCAATATAAACAACTTCATAATAAGAATAACAATAATGATGATAGTAAGAGTCTTTGCGCCTTCCAAAAATAAAGACAATAATAACATGTAAATTATATATTTTTTTCCCTTCTTGTTTTATCGGGAAACATGCACGGAGGAGAATTCCAAAAAAACGTCCGTCCTTTGTGTTCCAAACGATTTGGTTTGTTTATCTGTTCAACACAAGCAGTACATTTCTCCTGCAGTCAGATTCTAAAACTAATATAAAGTCAGTAAATCTCCCCCAAGCATGTTTCTCAAAAACTTAAAACAGAGTGGGTCACTGTAGTCGTGACGACCTTTATGATCACAAATATATTTCCACTTTGGATCTTATCATTGACCCGAAGGTCGGCATAAAAAAAAAAAAACCTCCCAAACTGGTGATAGCTGTTCGCCAGAAGCAGTCTTTTTTTACTGTGTGAGATAAAAATGACTCCTGTGACGCTCATTGAAAGCAGCAGGATTCAGGGGAATCCTTTAAGGTAGCATAGCATCATCTTGTGGAAAAGCCCTGTTTAATAACACCACGTCTTTACACGCAAGTGCCAGCAGAGGGAAACCCAGACCCACACATGGCTGCGCAGGTGCAGAGAAACCACCTGATAAGCAGTAATATTGCAAAGCCTTGCATGTGTTGCCTCTCCTGCCTGCTTGTCTGGGATTTTTTTTATTAGAAGTAACTAGTGGAGAAATCATAGTGTTTTTAAAGTATAAAGATTTTCTTTGCACAATTATAACAGTTTTACAGCTTGTAGCAGCGTCAGGAGATTCACATACATATCTGATGCAATGCAGAAGAAATACCCCAATGCAGTATCTCACATTAGCAGGCCTTTCCTCTCACCATGGTGACATTTGCCTCTCGGAGCAGAATGCCAAGCATTGGCAGGGCAGACATAGCAAATGAAGGGGCCTCGCTGATGGCGATGGCAACATTAATTGTGGAGCAGGGTGTGGGTCTGAGAACTGGGGCAGACACCTGCTGCAGAAGTGGGTGAAGATGAAGAATGCTGTCCTAGATTGCCGACCAGCTCACCTTAACCCAACCCTCCGAATTAATCAACTCTTCAGGGGCCACCCAGTTGTCTGGGGCAGGCATCGGAGGAGGCCCGTGCTAGGGTACAGGTCATGTAGGAGCCCCCTCCGGTGACAGAGGGGAGGAACAACACCAGGCAGCTACAATGGCACCGAGGCAGCGGGGTTTGCACTTGCCCTGCAGGAAGGTGCGGTAAGATGTAGCTCGTCTTCAGCCATCTGTCTCTCTGTCTCTGAATGGTCTCTCTTGAGATGCGTTTCCAATGTGCTGGGGTTGAAGTGCTGCTGCTGAGGAGGGTGATGTTTGATGAGGCACACAGAGACAGAGGGGGTTTAGGAGCCCCACGGGGAGCAGAGATGACTAACTCACTACTCCACCTAATCTAGGACAAGCACACCTAGACATCCTTCATGACTCTAATGTTTTACTCGTGTCGGGCCAAAAATACGTCCACTGAGGTTAGCCAAAGTGGGTCGCCCAGTAGCTTTTTTTGGATCTCGGAAAAGGAAAATTGTGCCATCTAAATGATTGCTGTCTTCTGAAACCCACTCTAGATGGCGAAAAAATCTTTCCCCACCAGTTTATTTTTGCAAGTATCGAACTGGGTCAATGACGCCTCAGAATCTGACAAAACCCAATTGAAGCCCCCCACACCCCACCCCTTGAAAAATAAAACAGTCACGGTGCTCGTCAATCCTTTTTCCAAACATTTTATTGGTCTTATAGAAAATAAAGTAAGCTGTATCAACAAACATACAATATATACATCAATAACTTAGACACCTCAGAGAACCACGTTTAAATCCACAGTTGTTACTGTATATATGAATACATAGTACTTATCTACAGATTGCAAAAAGTACAATAATTTAATTTATAAATAGTTACAATTAACTATTGTCTGTTTTCATACAAAGTACTGCAATATTTTATTACAACCCATACAGAAAAAATTAACAAAAACAGATAATTAGCTTTGTATCACCACTCGCTTTAGTCAGATTTTACACCTTGGAAACACAGACCCACTGCATGGAAATAAGAGGGAGAGAAAAAAAACTGTTTACAGAGCAGAAATATGGGTATTAAAAAAAGCGCCAATGTCTTGAGAGCAAGTGCTGCACACAAGTGCTGTTATTTCTTCTCTCCAACTGAAAAGAGGAAAAAGATATGACAAAAAGAAGCCACAGCCAGTGACAAAGTATATCTGCAGGAGGAAATTAATACAGTGTTCAGATCAATTCCAAATATGCACTAAACATCTAATGAGAACAAAAGCGCCGTGAAGGGTGCTACAGCAAACAATTAGCATTAAAGAGCGGTGTAGCAGCAGAGGAACCTCAATCGCACAAACACACACGATCCAACCAAAGTAAGAAAACACGTCTTGCGTGGGGGTTCGTTTTCAGAAATATCGTGTAGCATCCACTGGGTTCACAAAAACGACTATACTGGATATCAGGGAAAACTCTTACAGTCACGTAACCCAGTCCAGTTCCTGGATCTGCAATTCTTTCAAAGGCAGACATGTAGATCATAAATAAGAAATGGACTTCCATGGACTGGAAGTGCTAAACTGGCCACAACTAACTCCATATATAACAACAGCAAACACTTTACCAAAGAATTTATGGTCCTGGTCACTGGATTATGGATTAGGTCAAGCCAAGCATAAAGATGCCTTCACTGTCCTAGGACAGAGCTGGTTTAATTACTGTTTTGGTTGATGTAAAAAAAAGGGCTCTGGTGTATTTTTAGATTTAAATTAGTGGGTGAGTTTGGACTACAAGTTGCTTCTTTTAACAGTTCCACTGGTCTTCAGACTTTTATTCTGAATTGACTATGCGACTTACATATTTTTTCCCCCTCTTCACATTAGTCATCCGTCCCTCTTTTTGACAGATGACTAAGAGACAGACTAATATTCCAGAGCAAGCGCAGCTCAGCTGTCTCTGAAGGAAAGACCAAGTGAATGTTAACAGTTTATTTTACAACACTTTGAATCCAAGTTTGCTATTTCTATTTTTGTTTTTTGTTTTTTGCAGCGGTTGCCACAGGATGTCAAACTGATACTGACAGACTCTTCATGCCAGACATCTTTCCTGACGCAACCCTGCTCAGGGGAAGACAAAGTTTCCACAGCAGACTCTAAGATGTGCTGAACACCCGTGTTTTTAATGGTTGTTTTTTTTTTTATTTGAATGCTGTATTTTTTTTAATACTGCTGTCCACTCTTCCACCCCCCTCCCCCCACTCCCTTGGGTAACTGGAGTGAGAGACCTCTGCCATAAACTCTTTAAGAAATGTTTGTCTGTGGTTTTACGTGGAGTGAGAAGAACCTTCATTCATCATAGTTTTTTTCCCGTCAGTGAAGACTNNNATCGTTTGGGACCAAACAGCTACATCCATTGTTAACGTTTGGTCCGAGTCTAGACCAGGGTAGATGTTAAGACAGGCTCACCACAAATGTCCCAGAATTCCTTTTAAAAACACATGACTATTACACTGTTTAACAACTAAGCAACAACAAACCAGGTTCATGGATGCAAAGCATTGAACGAGGGGGAAAAAAACGAAAAAAACCTTACAAAACAGCTAAGCTTTTGAAAAATAACAAAGCACAGTCACTTTGACAATATTGATTACTCTTACACACCTTTCCACTGAGTTGCATATTAAGGGTCACTTTTCACAATGGTGATTAATACCTACTGTAGCTACATATTATACACCTGTATGTGTGAGTAAGAGAGTCGCCGTCTTGTCGTCGCGGAAATTGAAAGATTGGTCGACGGTGCCACGCGAACACCTTTAAAGACACTTGACATGAAAAAGATTCACTCCACAGGACGGCCACAGCAATAAGGACGCCAACATCAATACTGGGCTATGTCAAGAGTCAGATACATACAGTATTTTTCCCACAGTTAACCAGTCAGTGTAGACAGCTAAGCGCGTTGACAAAAATAAGGATAGCACACGGGCGCACAGACAGTAGAAGCAGTACCCAGGTCTCTGCTGCGGAGTTGTGACCTAGACCTCGCCGACACTGTGAGACCTCGTGACCGGTCGGACCCAGATGTGGATGAAGTGCATTCTGTTAATATCATTATACAGCTACGTTCACCTTGAGGTGTAAAAACTGCTTCACTGTTAAATTCCTTTTAGACAGTCGGGGAGGGATGTGACACTTGGCAGAGACAAAGTGCTGCCGGCAGCTTGTTATTGATTGTAATTCTACGTGTTAGTGCCGTGTCTCTTTCTGAGTATGGATTGAAGCCCTTTTATGAGATGCTTATTTTAAAAGAAAAGAATAAAAGGAAGAGGGTGGGAAAGAAAGGAGCTGCCATCTCTTCATCTCATCTTCTTTTAGTACAGTGTACAGATCTTTTTTTTGTTGTTGGTTTTGTTTGTTTGTATGTTTATTTAGAGTGAACCGTTACATCCTGAGCAAAACAAGCAGAAGTTTAGTGCATTCAAACCCTGGGCCACAGTCCACTAGCCTGACATCCACATTCTCAGGAGCAGTAGGTAGATTTACAATTGGATGATGCTCAGTTTGGTGCTTTCAGATTTTAATTTTTAATTTTTATATTAATTAAAAAAAAAACATCCCTAACCCAGACTGTATATAAGACATGGACGTAGCCATTTGTTGCCATAAATAAGTCCCTAGGAAAATACTGCTGACATCAGAAAAATGTTTGCGTTCCTTATGCAAAATCTACTTTTAAAACTTGTAAAAAATCACCACTTGGTTTAGGAAAATAAATCAGTGGTTCCCAAACGGTGGTACCTGTAACACTTGTGGTACCTGAGTACCCTCTAGTGGTACATGGGGGAACCCAATTGTTCAGTGTGTGTGTGTTTGGTTAGGAACTGAATTTAAATGCCACTTCTGGTGCTACTTAATTTTACAGTGCAGCTGTGGCTAATGAAGAGTGTTAATAGTTTTTCAGGAATGGATTCTTCTTTCGTATTCTGTGCTTGGCTTGACAGAGTAGTTCTGTGCTAATGTATTTTAATGTTGGTCCTATTGGCGGTACTGGGAGAGCCACATATTTTCAGAGCTGGTACATGGTGTAAGAACTGTGAGAACCACTGGAGCAGATGATAAAGTGTGGTCAGAGACGGACCAGCCAGGTGGTTGTCAATGATGGCTGTCAATAGTAGTTTTCCCCTGCAACCCACTGTATCATCTCTTTTACTTCTAAATGGGAATAGGAATAGAAGCTACAAAATAAACATCACAGACATGGATTTACTACAGAAATCTACAGAGTACTCGCTGTCCCTGTCTCTGGAGACTTGCCCAAACTTTTTCTTTCTAAAGATTTTCCCTAAACATATGTGCCACTTTGAAATTAGTCATTAACCTATAAACATGGAACACTAAACTCTAAACACACATTTATATGTAGATATTACATTTGTGCTTCTCTGCAGTGCAGCAGGTAGATGTTGTGTTTTTTTTAGTCGGACGGACCAGCTTTAGTAAAGGCGATCTTGAATGGTTTTACTACACTGCCGTGGTTCTCAACCTAAAGTATGTGTGACAATGATGGTACTTGGGCTCCCTCTTTTGGTAGCCAAAGGAATCATGGGGGGAAAAATGGAGGTAAATAAAAAAGAATGGCATAGAAATCATTGCAGTATTGGCTCCAAAATGTAACTTTCCCAAAAGAAAGAGGGAATGAAGGTAAATAATATTATCAAGACAAGAAGTATTTTAAAGCTCATACTAGTTGTCCTTGGAGAAACCTTGAGAACTACTGTTATAGAGGGTTAATGTTTGATTGGTTCTGTGCCACAGAAATGTTTCTTTGCAGTATAATTCCCTGCACAATCTCTGTCTGGAGCAAAGCTTTGCTAATCTGTTAATAATATTCACCAATGGCTCTGTCCATTTCTTATATACGTCACCGGGTCTGTCTTGAAAATGTACTACAAAATTGTCAACTTCACTTTTAAATTTTTTTGTGTATCTGTGGAAGCTGATTGTTGAGAGGTTCATGTTTCCATCCCTGTGAATTCAGAGGCTGAAGTGAAAACAACAATTAAATCTGCCCATGAATAGAGTCATTTGCTTTCAGGTGGCAGACCATTTATTTAGAGGGCATCCAGCAGCAGGTGCAACCATTATTCAGATTCTGTAATGACGGTGTCACTGTAAGCTTCTGGTAAAAGCCTTTGAGTTAATATCCACTAATGCCATTTCACCCAATTCTGTCTTACGTGGGTCAATGTGGTCAACTCTTAATGACGGTATGATTTGTAACTAACACCACGGAAGCGGAGGATATCACAGATGCCAATACGCACAAAGACAACTGACCTTGTTTACACCACCTAGTTTAGCTCTACAGATTTGTATTTGTTTTTAAATAGCACAGCATTGACATCTATACAGTGAACGACACTGCCAACTTGTCACTTACACGTCACATCACGCGCTACCCCACAGTACGCGCCTAGTCACTAGAAAAAGCTATCAGACTTCAATAATAAGCCACTTTTGGTACAATTGCAAAAAAGATGTCACAGGATTTTTTTTCTCAACATTTTCATTTTCTGTATTTCTATAAACAATGGAAGGTCATCTACCTAGTCATAAAAAACAAGAACCCAACATTAGACAAAGTTTTCTACACCTTAACAATTCAAACAGTAAAGCTCGTGTAAAGACTTTTTTGGAAATATCTAAGGGCCCTGTCGACAGATAATTACAAAAAATGCAATATATATATATTTATCTTTTAAAACAAATGGACTCGAACACATTTCTTCAATGAGCAAAAAGGATGTTTCAAAATGTTTGTGGATTTCACTTATCCCCACCAAAATACGGGGATACTTCTGTGATTCAACATTCATTTTTTTCATTTCCAGATACCGTGAGGAGAATCTTATTGTGTTGGAATGGCACTCGGCTCAGAAACAATATCGTCGATGACCGCCGATCGTTTTTAAGGTTCCCACTTCACCACAACTACGCCGGACCTCTGTATTTTCAGTGCATACATATATTATTGCATCTACCAGTCATATTGATAATGACGAGTTCAGTAAAGCCTGTCACAGATGCATAAACAGAAATAGATGCTAGACCTGGAAGCATTATTTCACGCTTACTTTCCTGACAGACGACCAACGAAATCACAAATATTGATTAGTTTACTAGTTTGAAATTCATCAAGACTGTGTTGAAGACATCTGTAGCGTCCACGTCAAGAGTCTGCGACCACTTGTTGTTAGTCCCAAATCAAGTCAGTGCATGGTAACAAGTCAGAGGGGTTTCAGTCGGATTTATGCTGGCTCTGTTTGTTCTTCGCGCTGAATTCAAATTCCACTTTTTGGACGGAAAACTCTTGAATTCTCAAAGAAATATCAATTTTTTTTGTTTAAATATATGAATATGAATCGGTTTTTCCTATTCAACACTGCCCCCTTGTTTTTAAATCAAAAACTTCATTATTGCCAAATGTGTAACACTTGTGACATACAGTATATTCAAACAGTGTTTCCGTACAATTACGAAAAAATGTTAATTTCAATCAATTAACATAACTTTTGAAAGAAAAACATTTAAGTCTTATTCTTAAAGCATTTTAAGAATATTTAAAAAATATATTTAATTCAAAAATTTACCTCAGAAATACCATCTGGTATCAATGTGTGGGTCTCAGCCCACCGTCTGTGTACAACTGCCCTTTAATGTATTTTGACTGATTTGCAGATCAAACCTGAGACGTGCAGTTTTACAGGGAAGCACACTTTTACTGTTGGTACCAAGGGGTAAAAAAGGAGGACTGACCCCAGTTTACCCCTGTGTCTTGTTACAATGCACTGAGTGACGTTATTTCTTTTTTTTTCTATTACCAATCTCCATCTCGTGCCCTTCATCTCTGCTACTATGACCTAGCCTCCGTTTTGGATTTGACAATGGTGATGACACTGGTAGCAGCTACTTTACCAGGGATGAGAGGACCTATGACGGAGGCCATGGGTCCTCTGGCGGAGGTGACGGGGTTGCGGGCCACAGTTCTGGCAAAGCTCTGCAGGGCCTCGTACTTTGAACGCAGAGCGTCCAGCTCAACCTTCATGCTGGCGTTCTCCGTGGCCAGCTTGTCCACTTCCTGCTGCAGCTGAGCCTTCTGCTTCTCCAGCTCTTCTTTCTGGGTGACACGCTTTACTCGGCAGCTGGCGGCGTATCCACGGTTCTTCAGGGTACGTCGTCGCTGCTTCAGCTGCAGGATTTCCTCTTTCGTCAGCCCTCGTAGATGCTGGTTCAGCTCCCGCACCGACATGGTCACCAGCTCCTCATCTGTCAGGCTGGTGCCATTTTCCCCAGGCTCCCGCTTCACCTGCAGATGGGGGTGGGGTTGTAAGCGTAGGTCGTTCCATTCATAAATAAAAATCATTCACTCTTTCACGTTAAATTAAGATCCACTTTAGCGCCAGCCTTACCTTCAAGGCCTTGTTTCCTTTGTTTGTGGTAGTCATGCCACGAAAGCCTTGTCCACCTGTACTGTTGCTTGTCTTTGGGTAGAGAAGAATAAAAATGACATTAGTATTTAAAAACGGGTTAACGGAAGGAAACGTCTTGGAATAGATTATTAATTTATATCCAGGCGTGGAAGCCGCAGCACGACTACGTCCTTGTACAAAAGAGGGTCAAGGACATTTCCCACTTCTTTGTAATTGATGCCAAGTTTGTTGGCACCTGGACTATTACTGCCACACTGGACAAATAACTCAGTGGTATGCATTTCCCCCAGCACCACCAGTCAGTGTGAGTAGAACCAGGCCGTACAATTCAAGGAGACCTGCCCGATAGAGGTCTTACATGAATCATGCATTTAATTCAAGCGGCAGCGCAGTGAGTCACAGGAAGGATGACATTTAGGTTGGACAGCTGCAATACCTACAACTTCAGACAAGTCACTTTTTTTAAATACAGCCGTTCAGAGCACAGCAGTCAAGGACATGGAGAAGTGGAATTAATTTTTACAGGAGAGCTGGCTTAACACCTTGTTCAGCCTGTAGCAGACATGTTCAAACTCAGACTGGGGGCCGACTGTGGGTTGTTTTTTTTTTATTTTAAAAATATTTAAAATAATTTATCATGCAACTGTTGATTATGTTTTTACTACTATTAAATGATATGCTGGTGGGTTAAAAGGTGCTGAATTTTAATAACTTAAACCTGTTGGGACACAATCTTGAGTGTCTTAAGGCCTTGGACAAGAACCCTCAAAATAAATAATAATGTTTGAAATCAAATTTTTAACCAAAATTTCTGCCTTACGTTGGGACAAAGAGCAAGAGCATTTTATGATTTGATCTTATGAAATGAGAAAACATTTATTAGATGAGCCCCTATAATCGAATACCATTTATGTAACAATACGTACAGATATGCAAAATCATTAATACTTTGAAGACAAAACGTACATTTCACAAATGAAATCCCTGCGTCTGCCAGCACCTTTGCAGTTACAGTGTTTTATTCCCCCATTGTGATGTCATATTTTCTAGCAATTAGTTTAATTAGTGCAAAAATGGTACAGCTTACTGTACATATATATGATCTATGACATAGTTTATGGACCCAAATATGGTCCGCAGCAGAATATATCAATCAGGGTAATGATAAGGTGTTCACCTCATCAGTAAGCCAAGTCTAATGTTTTTATTTCCAATATTCAGACCATGTCATAAAAATGACTCTTACTCTACAATTACCCTTAACTTACTGCATGGCCAAAAATGAACATTTCTGGATGCCATTTAATTGAACTGCATTTCCATGTGTAGAAGCACAAAATGACATTGCTAAAATGTTTTTTTTTTAACATGACTTAATTACAGTCCAGAGATTCAAAGAAAAGCACTTGACCCTGGAATGTTTTTTTTCATCCTGAAGAAGTCCTAGACGAACCCTTTCTAGGTTTGGCTGATCTGAGGCTACAACCTAATAAATCAATAGAAAAGGGGGAAACGGTCAAACCACTGCAGAGCCTCATCCACCTTCCAGAATAAAAGCACTGCACTGCAGTTTATTCTGTCAACTCAGTGCTAAGAGAACATTAGGAGAAGATCAGACGGAGAGAAATCTAACTCACTGGTGTTAACACACACAGAAGGTTGGTTTCACTGTGTAAGCTCTGTTACTAGATAAGTGTGCGCACACACACACACACGGCCCTGGGTGCTTTTCATTACACACACAGTAACTGCTGTGTCAGCGACACAGGCACCCACCACCACAGTCAGCTCAGCCAGCACATTGCCTCAGTAAGCTGATTTACTCAGCCTATCAGTGTGTGTTTGCACTGAGCACACAAACAAATGCATGTGCGCTCCTACAACTTTTCAGCATCAAAAGCAGAAAACAAAGGAATCCCAGAAGGAACCACTATCTGGGCGTGCATGTGTGGTCTGCGCACAGACGCTCAAGTCAGCGGCGAGAGAGGAAAAAGACGGTGCTTCATGGCTCTGCACTGCACTAAGATGGCGAGGATATTTCCATGGCAACTAAAGTGTGCTACAGGTGGACCCGGTCACCTGAGCCAAACAGGGAGAGACAAGCACTTGTAAAAAAGTGACCTGAATACGACACTGTTGCACGGGCTGGGGACACAACGGGAGGTGGGATTGTGACATGGGTTTGTGATGATTTCACTTTCCAACATCCTCCTCCTCCTCCTCCTTCTCCTGGTTTCACGTAAGGATTCCTAGTTTTGCCAATGCCCAATTGACCAAGAATGTCAGACTCTACAGAGGACTTTTCAAATGAGATCCTCTTCATCTCTGTTGTGATGACTATGAATAGCTGCCTGATAGTAACACCTACCTTTGCACTGGCCTTGGTGGTGACTCATTTCCAGTAAGCATTTGGACCACAGATGCAAAACATAATGGGATAATGGTCTGCCTGATGATGCACAGATAATGGACAAATAGAAAGGAAAGTACTCCGCTAATAGCTACAGTGGTGGAAGAGGAGGGAGAAATGGCGACATCTCCCAATTTCCAAATTGAACCTATCATTTTCCATCAACGGCTTAGGCCCAACACCTTTCAAAAACCAGTTGGAATCTGGGAAATGTGCAAAAGGTGGGACGTTGTCCAAGATTAGGAGTGGTGCTCCGTCACACAGCTGTGTAGGGTAACGTAGTGGGCATGGCCTGGCACGCTGAAAGATTATAGGAGGACTGTGGTCCGGCTGCTGCCAACAGACGGCCGCCTTTGACAGGGCACGGCACCACAACGCAGACAGGGTCCAATGCACAGCTGCTGCCTTCTACTAGGAAGCGTGTCATACCTTACAGAGACAAAGAGGCCTTTTTACAAAACACACTAGAAATGAATGACTGAAGGAAAAACACAACTACTGAAAAAGTAATGACAGAGAAATATCAGACTGCACTGATTAGATTGCGAAAGGACGTCTTTGAATTTGACAGCCTCAACCTCTTCATGGTCGCAGTCAAGTACACTACACATCAATGTCTTACTGCTCCCACTGTTATCTTCTGTGTGTGTGTGTGTGTGTGTGTGTGTGTGTGTAAGCACGCCTGGTCGACAGGGAAGGAGGAGAGAGCTGCAGCCTGGAGCAAAGGGGCAGTGAAGGCGTAGGGAGAAGCATGGGGACACAGAAGTCTTTTGTCGGAGCTTGCTGAATTTTTATGAATCGCTTAGAAGAATGCTGACAAATCAGAGCTGATTGCTTGCAGAGGAGAGACATCACACCCACAGGAAATAGAAAATGCTGAGTGTGGTCACCCGGAGAAAAAGGAGGGGATGGTGGGAGAGACGGACAGAGAAGGAGAGAGGGTGAGAAGAGAGAGGGAGTGAGAGAGAAAGAGCGAACAGTCGTGTGAAAACTGCACGCTCGACACATTTAGAGGAGCTTGAGAAGAACAGGTTAAGAGCGAAAAAACTGATCTCAGCAAGGACCAAAACCAAGGTGCCAATTAGGAAGTTGTGAAGTTGAACTAACACGATTAGAGCAGCCCGGCCAACCTTCAAAAGCTGTCTGTGTTCATCCGAATCTGTGCAGGGAAGCCGAGGAAGGTAAGCTCGGTTTAGGATGGAGACTCGAGGGGGGCAAAGAACTTGGTGGGATAAATGTTGATGTGACATGATGGGTCCAGCCTTGAGCCAATGTCATGTTTTAATGATCTCATCCCCCACATAGAATCTCTCCAGGGGGCTGCCAAGGATGGACACCATTAGCTGGGGGTCTCTTTGTTGAGGGGGAACCGAGGCTACAGCATCCATGCACTGCATCCCCTGATGAATATTTATCACTGTCGTTCCCTGCCAGAGGTGGGGGTTGGAGACATATATGGGGGGTGGGAGGCTGAGTAAAGATGCTCAGGAGGTGATTCTTCAAGGATACATCCAAGGCTCGTCCATCAACGGGTGTCTCAAAATGGCGGGAGGCTTGTGGGGTTGTCGACGGGGGGGCGGGGGGGGGGGGGGTGGGGGTTTGGGGGGGGGGGTGGGGGGGGGTT